TATGTGGGGGTGGGGGATGCATGTGAGCCTGTTTGGAGGATGGAAGGTAGGGACCCATTCCCCAGCTCTTCACCATTTCAACTGCCCATCCCCACCACACCCTGAATCCTCGCAAAGGGAACCTGTAATTCAGGTACAGTGCAACCAGGTGCGGGTAATGCACCGTGATTCTAACGAATTCCGGACCCTAATGTGTTGCAAGTGAGGTAGATAATATTTCTCTTTACACCAAAAATAATCTCTTCACTAAACAACTTTAATTTACCATCAATCAAAAATACATGCCAATTTCTTCTATATACTTTTTAAAATAAACATCCAAGGTAAAACTCTGCACCTTTAGCCCTCCTATGTGACGGGGCATGAATAATTCCCTACTCCATCTGAACAGGGCCTGCCCAGTCCCAGCAGACAGACCCTCCGCCTGCTTCCCAGTGCACCCAGCTGGCACCCTCAGCTCCAGCTTGCACCCACCTCCCACAGGAAGCCCCTGTGCCCCACTCAGAGCTCACACTCTCTCCTTCCTCTCTGTCCCCTTGTTCTGCTGCCACTTACCTGCCCGCTGAGCTGTGTGGTGTGGGCAGCTCTCTAAGGGTGAGGAGATGGGATTTGAGGCAGCTGGTCCTGTTTCTTCGAGTTCCTGCTGCTTCCCAGGGGTGTGACTTGGGAAATCCTCAGCCTCTGCGGAGTTTCAGTCTCTCACTCTGGACACTGACGATGGTGACCCCAACCTGGTAGGGTTGTGTGAGCGAGTGCAGACTAGAGGAGGTTCAGAGGTAAAGCAAGTCTGCCAGGTGCATGATGTAGGTCCACCTCCCTTACTTTCCATTGCTATTTCCCAGCTGAGAGGAGAATTTACATCCTGCTCATCTGCGGTTCCTCCTCTGTTCCCCTTGAGTGATGTCCTCAAGTTCCCACTGGCTGCTTACAGCCTCCAGGCCTCCCAGGGCCATTAGCTCAGTGCAGTGAGGCTGCTCCTGCTGTGGAGCCCGTGTCATTTCACTGACACCCCTCAGACTCAGGCATCTTCTCACTCTCTGGAGAACAGGAAAAGGAGGAAATATTTACATGAAATTAATGTTTTGATAGGTAAAAACGTTTAGCATGATTTCCAGCATGATTCCCCCTGCCTTTTTAGAAATCCCACTGGCTTTATCCAAGGGGACCTACAGGTGGAGTCATGGAATTCTTACAGAATCGACCTCAGAGCTTCCACACAGAAGGGCCATGGCAGAGACCCTGCTGCCCTGCGCTGCCTTGCTGTGGAGATGAGGACTGCACAGAGAGGGAAGGGCCTTGGCCCTGCCACACAGTGCAGTGGCACAGCTGGGGCCAGGACCCCTGCTCCCAGCCAGGTGCTCCCTTCCCCACCCCAACTTCTGGACTTCTTAGGGACCCTTTTCTTCAATAGCCCACTGTCCAGCTGTATCACAGGTGGAATCAGCTCAAAGAAAAAGCTGAGAAGAAAAGACTGCAATTCAGAGGCCCAAAGAGGAAGCTGCCTATGTGGTAGAGGGAGAGGCAGACCTGGCACTGTCCCTGTCCCTGCGTCGTCCCCAAAGAACCTGTCCAGCTAGGAGGCAGGGTCTGGAGGGATCATGGGAAGTCTGGCTGGCCAAGCCCAGCCCTGGGAAAGTCTAACCTCATCTGCTTCCCCCCTGAGCAGCCCAGTAGACCTGTACATCCCAAAGGTCTCCATCTCTGAAGCCTATGACCTTGGGGGCCTTCTGGAGGACATGGGAATTGCAGACTTGCACAATAGCCATGCAAATTTCTCAGGCATCACCCAAGAGGCCCAGCTGAAGATGTCCAAGGTAAGCGTATCCAGGGCCTACCTTTTCTTCCCCAAAATGCATAAGCAACATGGAGCCCACTCATGAACAGGCCTCCAGGCCCCAGGCTGAGAGAGCACCAGGTGTTGTCCAAGCCCCTAGTTTTACAACAGGCTAAGCGGAGGCTCATCAAGAAAATGTGCTGTCCCCAAGGTCATACAGGAAACTAATGACAGGGAGGGCTAGAGCCTAGGCATCTACCCATTCCACCAGGCCATGCAAAGGGGGCACTGTGTAAAATGAAGTCATCAGAGGAGGCCTGTGAGAGGCCCCTGCAAAAAGAAACCGGGAAAGTGGAAAATGTCTAAATGAGATCACACTAAGCCTTCTACCCAATTACATTCACACCCTGATCAGCTTTCTGTCGTTATTTATTCCTCCATCCATTCAGGAAATATTTACTGAACGTCTACAATGTGCACTGAGTGTGTCTCCACTACTCAGATGTGGCCCTGTCCCCACAGACCTTATAGTCCTAGGGGTGACAAAACAAGAGAGGGCACAGGAGAAAGTTGTAGTGGTAGCAGCCCCCTCACTCAAGCACATGGACTTTGACCACTGGATATTATCCCAATTTCTCCAAGGAGGAATCTCTGGCCCAGGGAAGGTAAAATAACTCACCTAGGCCACAGAGCTAGTAAAGAGCAGCCTGACATTTGACCTAGGGTCTATTCCACTCAAAACCGCATTTCCCAAGACACACTGTCAGAGTTCTTATCCCAATTCAGCTTCTTCCTAGCCACTCAAACCCTCCAATTCCTTGTTGTGCAGTCAATGAGAGTCCTTGCTCTGTAAGATTTGGTTATTTAATTGCCAATTCTTATCTGATGGAGGCTTTTGATACAAGCTACTCAAGCATGTTGCCAATTTCAGAATTCCTTCTAATTTTGTTCACAACAAAACAGAGGTTACTGGTTTCCATAAAGGGTAGGCACAAGCACTTTTCATGAACTGAACCCTACTACTTACCCAGCAGAGTGAAAAGGGAGCGAGGGCTGCCTCTACTAGCCCAGGACCCAGTGAGGTCCAACTAGTGCCACAAGACCCTTAACCTTTATGTGGTGGGTTCCACCTGCCAGCTTCCTAAGGAGGAAGTCTAGGTGCAGCCAGGGTTCTGGAGGTGGACAGACCTCAGCTTTAGTCCTAGGGCTGCGACTCAGATAAGAAGCCAGCAGCTTCAGCCTCAGCTTCACAATCCATAAAACCAAGGGTGGGAGGAGCCCAAGCAACGAGGTGAAGAAAGCTCCCAACATACATTAGGTGCTCAACCACCAGCTTTGGTCCATGCCAACAGGTGGTCCATAAGACCATGCTGCAATTTGATGAGAAGGGTATGAAGGAAGCTGCTCCCATTGAAGTCACCCAAAACATGGCACCTGAGCCTCTCACCCTTCGCTTCAACCAGCCCTTCATTGTCATGATCTTCGACAACTTCACATGGAGCAGCCTTTTCCTGGTCAAGATTGTGAATCCAGCCTAAGGGTCTATCCTCCGAAGAGCCACAGCACAGTCTGACTCTAGGCATCAAGGACTCCACAGAAATGATGCATTGGGGGAGAGGGTCCTCCCAAGTCTTCTCCAGGTTTTCCCTGTAATAAATGGCATCAGGACTAATGACAGTGTGTTGAAGAAGAAAGGTGGGACACCTGATAAAATCTGAATAATATCCATATAATAAAGTAATATAATTTCTTGTTTTGATCATTGTACAATGGTTAAGTAATGATATGTGGAAGCTGGGGGAAAGTATATGGAAACTCTTAGTTTTGGAAATTTTTGTATGTTTGAAATTATTTCTAAATAAAAACTTTTAAAAAAGAAGAAATTGTGTAAGCCAAAATACAAGAGGAAGACATTTTTGAAGTGCTAGGGGGAAAATGTCATAATATCTTTCAAACGGAAAAAAAAAAAAGCAAAAGCAAGTCTTCAAAAATTAAGGCAAAATAAAGATTTTTTTTTTTTAGATAAACGATAGCTGAGAAAGTTTATCAGTTTCACTAAAGACATTTTTAAGGTAGTTCTTTAGGCAGAAAAAAAGATGACTATAGATGGAAACTTGGACCTATATGAAAGAACGAAGAGCCCTGGAAAGGGCAAATACATATGTGGGTAAATACAAAATATTTTTAAAATATCTTTAAAATATAATTTCTGCTTAAAGCAGAGAAAGTTTCCAATTTACTGCTTCTCAATTCCAATCTTCCCTTCATTCTGCTCTGCAAAATTAAATCTGGACCTTTTAGTATTTTTGCGTTGCCTGCTGGGCATGATGCTAAATTCTGTCAGTAGAGAGTGCTAGAGCGACACTGCAGGGGGAAGAGGCCTTACCGTCCTGGTTAAGGGCAAAAAGTATTAAATGAGATAAAGAACTGAACTGACTGACAAACAAACAGACATATGAATAGATGTGATAGAAATGATAGATAAATAGATGAAAGATAAATACATGATAAACAGATGGATGGATTGGGCATATATCTTGAAAAATAAGAATCAAAGGATACTTCCTTAAATATACCATTTATATCATATACATATACATATTATACATATATATATATATATATATATACACACACATATATATATATGAGAACTTGAATCTTAAAGCCATCATATTACTTAGTAAGAAAACACAAAATGTATTCCCACTAAGGTCAAGAGTAAGACAAGGCTGCTCGTTACATCTTTTACCACTTTACATTGTCCTAGAGGTATTAGTGCAATCAGAAAGGGAAAGCAGAGGTGTAGAATTGGAAAAAAATGTAGTAAAACTCTATTTGCAGATGACATGTAATATACCTGCTTAACCCTAGCAAATCAATGATAAAACAAAATCAAACAATGAAAGAATTCAGACTGATATCAGGAAAAAGAACTTACAGGCAAGAACAGCCTTCATACACACAAAAACCAGTTAAGACATATAATGGAAGAGAAAACCCAAAGGCAACCAAAAAGATACAACACTTAGAAATAAACAAGAAATACGCACAATCTGCATTCAGAAAATTATAAAATACTTCCTAAAGATGCAAAATTAGACTTGAACACATGGAAAGATATTTCTTCTTGAACAAGATGCCTCAACATCATCCAGGTATCTGTTTTCCCTAAGTTAATTTGACCATCTAATGATATTCCAATAAAAATATTAACACATTTTTTTCTAGAGATAGGCAAGATGATACCAAAGTTCATATTAAAAAAAATAAACATGCAAGAATAACCAGGAAAACACTGAAAAGGAAAAGATATGAAGGGTGGGGGAGGGGGGAGGGTAGGGGACTAGCCTGACCAGCTAGATATCAAACCATGTAACACAGATTCTTTAATTAAAAATCTGTGGAACTGGTTCATGAAGAACCAGTAAAATAGGTTAGAAGGTCTGGAAATAGACTCAAGTAAAAATGGAAATTTAATATTTGATCAAGAATGATTTTCAAGTAAATGGTATTGGCACAACTGAATAGGCATTTGGGAGGGGGAAACGATAAAATGACACTCATTCCTCACACCATAAACAAGAATAAACTAAGAATCAGAGATCTAAATAGGAGAAAAAAACACACACTACAAGTACTAGAAGGAAACACCAGTAAATTTCTCTGTAATTTAAGTGTAGGAAAAGGTTTTCTAACCATAACTCAAAGTCCAAATGAAATTAAAGAATCAACAAATCTGACTATATAAAAAACATTTTTAATTGCATGATCAAAAATTCATAAGCAAAATCAACAGAAATGAAAACTTGAAAGAAATATTTGCAATATATATCACTGATAAAGAGCGAATATCCCTAATATTTGGTGCTTAAACGTATGAAAATATGTCCAACTTCACTTATAATAAAAATGGAAACTAAAAACATACATACTGAGATATCATTTCCTATCTATCAGAAGGACAAAAATTTGAAAACTTCACAGTACACTCTATTTTTTTTTTAATATATCTTTATTGATTTCAGAAAGAGGAAAGGAGAGGGAGAGAGAGCGCTAGAAACACCACTGATGAGAGAGGTGTCATCGATGGGCTGCCTCCTGCGCACCCCCCACTGGGGATCAAGCCCGCAACCTGGGCATGTGCCCTGACTGGGAATCGAACCCCTATCGCCTGGATCCTAGGTCGACACTCAACCGCTGAGCCACGCCTGGCCGGGCATAATACACCCTTATTGACTGTGTGGGAATGGTCATTTTCATACACTGCTAGTGGAAATGCAAAAATTCCTCTAAGGAAGGGAGTTTTGCAATATATAATGCATTAGTTTCCTAAGACTGATGTAACAAATGACCACAGACTACGTGGTCTTAAACACAGAAATAAATTCTTTCACAGTGATGCAGGGCAGAAGTCAGAGATCAAGGTGTCTGCGGGGTTCGTTCCTTCTGGAGGCTCTGCGCGGGGACCCCTTCTGGGCGTCTCCCAGCTGGGGTGGCTGCCCGCAGCCCTGGGCCGGCCGTGGCTCGTACATACCTGCTCCACCCTCCGCGTCTGTCTTCACGTGGCCTGGTCGTCTTCTGTCTCTGTGTCTCCAATCTCCCTCTGCCTTCCTCTCATAAGGACACCTGTCCCTGGAGTTAGGGGCCACCCTAAATCCAGAATAATCTTATCTTCAGATCCTTACCTAATCGCACCTGCAAAGGCCCCTTCTCTAAATAAGGTCACATCCCCAGGTTCAGGAGTGAGGGCTTGGACGTATCTTTTGGGGGACCACTCTTCAACCAAATACACCTAACGAAATTACAGGTATGTTATTTTTGATCCAGAAATCCCACTTTTAGGAACTTGGCCTAAAAACACACCTCCGACCTTTGTTAAAAAAATCATTTGCTCTGTGTTCTTGAACAAGTTAACTGACCTCTCTGAGCATCTGTTACTTTACACCCTCCAACGAACACTTATTTCTCTCCTAGTCAAAGGTTCTTTTGACCCAACCAAAGGAAAGCCCCACCTCAAGGAACGCTCTGTTATTGAGCCTCCTGGGCTGGGCGGGCTGAGGCGCTACCGCCTAGTTACCCGGAAGTTACCCCCACCCCGCGGGCCACTGTCCCGACAGGCTTCTCGGGGCAGCCTGAGACATAATGGACGTAATGGACTTGCCTGGGCGCCCGGCTTAGCGGTGCTGGGGACAGAATGGGTCTGCCCGCGACGTCGTCAGCTGTCACCGGAACGGGATGGAGCCAACAACGCGATATTTGCACCCAAGCCTGCGCGCACGTGTGCGTGCGTGCGTATGTGCGTGCGTGCGTAGGTGCGTAGGAGACTGCGTACCTGCGAGCATGCGCACATACCTGCTGCGTGCTGAGTGCGCGTGTGTTGCAAGGACCTGAGAAGCCTGTCATTTTCCGCCGGCCTCAGCTTCCCTCGGTGTGGTCCACGCAGGGCACGTCCTCTCGCCTTTCCCTGAAGCTGAGTATGCCAATAGTGGGTCTTGGTTGTTTTTCAGACAGTTAGTCCTGCAGGTTCCAGGACGGACGTGCTTTGGAAGCCCCCGTTTCTCGCCCTGAGGGGCGGCCTCGGCCTGCCCGCCAGGCCTTCCAGGGAGGACCAGCGCTGTCTCCTCGGAGCGGACTCTCGTCACCGGAGACCGTCCTATCAGATCTTGCCCAATCTCTCACTGCAGGTGCGTGTGACAAGCTGAAATCGAGAGCAAACCGAACGTCAGAAGGCGTGGTTCTCTTCTGGCTGCAGCACCGGCGGGAAAGGCCTCCGTGGGCGTGGGCCCGCCTGTCGTCCTCGGTAACGCCAAACCCCGGGTCTGGGCCTGCCCCTGAGGTTCATGCTGGCTCTAAAATTATACAACGAGCACCACTCGTTAGCACTTCCAACCAGGTACCAAGCAGGACCTCATTTAACCCTTTCTACAGACCAGGAAATGGAGGCAGAGGGGGGCTCCAGGAGCTTGTTCAGGGTCACGCAGCTGGTGCAAGAGTTCAAGCCACAGTGGCAGGGACTGAATTCACCTGCCCAGAGCAGTGCAGGACCCCTGTGCTCGCTTCTGAACCACACTTTCTGGGACCAGGGCCCACCGCCTTAGAAACTGTGTTGCCCATCTCCTTCCTGCTTCCTGGGTGCTGCAGAGATTTTCATCGGCCAGAGGCGCGGTTCTGGCCATTTTCCAGAAAGGAACGCAAGCTCAGACAGGTTGGGTTCCATGCCCCAAGGCTTGCAGCTAGGATTTTGGGAGGGCTCGAATCAGGGGTGTCTCACAGAGTCCCTGGAGCCCTTTTCTGTATATTTTGATGCCTTCCTTATAAATATCCGTTTCTGAATGGCAGCAGTTTTGAGAGCCGTCCAGATGGTCAAAAATGCACCTCGATTACTTTGCGATTACTTTGATGTCACTTCTGAAGCCCCAGTGACCACTGTCGAGCCTCCCAGCACTCACTCTCCTGCTTCCACTGGGACATGTGGTGAAGCTCACAGGCCCTCTGCCTGCAGGAAGCAGCCCTGCAGCACCTGGCTGCGGTGCTGCCCCTCAGCTGCAGGATAGGGAACAAGCAGGACAAGCTGGCTCCTGTGCTGTCTGAAGGGAGAACCCTTGGGCCAGCCTCACCTTGAAGGTAGGGCTTCTCAAAAGAGCAGGGGCTGCCCCACAGCCACGCTCTGGAACCGTGTTGGGGCACTTCTGATTTTCACAAACATTTGGGGAGTGCTAGTGGCATGAGTGAATGAGGCCCAGAGATGCCAGATACACTGGAACACTCAGGATCGTCCACCACAGTGAGGTAACATGGCTCAGATGTCCCACATCAAGCCCATACAGGTGAAAAACCCATTCATATTATCTGAGCCTAAACCCTCACAGTCCCACGGGTGTTTTGTTTCATAGAAAGATATCACTTCCCCCCGAGGTTTTAATTTCCACTGAATTTTCTATGAAGACAATGACCATGTAAATGAGAAGAAGATGTTTTTTATTTTTTGGAAGTTTACCCAACATGACTCACCATTACAGGAAACCACGTGGCCAGCAGTAATTCTGACAGTAGCACATGATGAACTGTGTGCAGCACACATCCTCTGAGCGGCCCCACAGCTGATGGCATCACCACGTCTTCTGATGAAGTATGCCAGAGCATTTACATGTTTTCTTATACTTCGCTTTTATTTCCCCTCCATATTAGAGAGCAGTATTTTGCTTTTTTTAAAAATTTGTGGCTACCTTATATTAACTATAAGTTTCCCTTTAGGGTAGTAAAGGACACATGAAGTATTTATATTATTAAAAGGAGAGTCTAATAGATCTGAAAATTTTTGTCTTAAAGGGTCTCCATCAGCCTTGACTTTGGGTACTTGAGGATTCCTGGCTCATTAGTTTGGCAAAGGGGCAAGTTGACCTTGAGATGACTTTGTATTGCTTATAGCAGTGTACTTGTCCATCTCTCCCACTGGACTGAGAGTTCCTTGGGTGTTGGGGGAGTAGGTCTTAATCATCTCTGTCCCACCCCACATGGTGCCAGCCCTGGATTGGGGACTCAGGAGGCCTCCCTTCACAGGAGGTGTTCATAGCCTGGCACAACTCTGTCCCAGCAGGAGCTGGATCTCCTGAGAGCTATGCCTGGACTTGAGAAACGGATGCAGTCGTCTAGGAATTTCCACATTCAGGGTTGGAGGAGTAGGTGGGGAACATGGGAAGCCTCTCTCACTGTCTCTGCTTTTCCAGAAACGCCAGCATCTCTGAGCAAGATGTTAATCAGTAATGGTCCCATGGGCCGCGCACTTTGGAATAGCAAATATTTGCTGCAGGCTTTCAGCTACAAGCCTCAACCCCATCTTTGCCCCAAATGAAGGACCTTCCCAGGCACCCGGGGGCCACTCACTGGTAAGAGACAGCGATTGAAGGGATACCTAAACAATCTAACGAGGGATGGAAAGCAGCGTTCTCGCCCTTGCTGGATGGGTTCTAGGTGAGGGGGTGGGCATCTAGGCAGTGCCCACGCCCACTCATAGACTGGAGAGGGCAGCAGTGGGGTGAGACGTGTGTTGTAGACACATGGGGCTTCCTCTGCAGGGCAGAGAAATGATGATGAGGTTTTTAAGTCTTGAGAGTTTGTGCCCAGAGCACTCACTGTTCAAGCCACACTCAACATCCTGGCTTTCTTCCTGCCCACAGCAAACCCCTTCCTGCTGTGTGGGGGTGCTGCTCCAGGTACAAGCAGAGCTGAGAAGTGTGAGTGAGCTGTTGATTTCTTACCACTCGGGTCATATTTAGGATACATCCTTGGCGTGCTTGGTGGAACCCTGGTGCTTGAGGGGTACCCTGCATACAGATTCTGTCTTGTTCCATAGATGGGACGGGGGATACATGGGTCTGTCCAGAAAGCAGCGAGCAGGGCACCATGTATTGCTGGGCTGCCACTTCAAACTGAAGGAGTAGCTGCACATTAAGACTTGGCAACAGAAGGGGTGACATCTATTTGGGTGCTGGGATTTTCTGACCACTGTCAGAGAGAAGTGATATGAATTCAAGAGTACGCTACTGTGGGATTAATTTATTAATTGACAGAGTAGTGCTAAATACTGTACACAGGCATAGCTCAGAGATACTGTGGAAACTGAGGTTTCAGACTGCAATAACGTGAGTATCATCCTAAAGCAAGTCACATGAATTTTTTGGTATATAAAAGTTGTGTTTATACTATACTGTAGTCTATTAAGTGTGCGATACTGTCACATCTGAGAAACAATATACACACCTTAATTAAAAAATACTTTGTTGCCCAAAAATGCTAACCATACTTGAGCCTTCAGTGAGCCGTGATCTTTTGCTGGTGGAGGGCCTCGCCCAGATGGTGATGAAAACGCAGTATCTGCGCAGCACAGTAAAACGAGGCAGACCCATATAGTGAAGGAATGGGCCAGGGGCCTTTTGGATACTGCAGGGGGTACTTACCCAGCATTTGCAATAAGGGTCCCCAAACACTGGCATTTAAGAAACACAGCAGAAGTCTTTCTTTCACTGAGTGAGCTAACGACTTGTGGCGGAATTCTGCGGTGCCATTTAGCACAAGCAAGAGCAGTGTACTGAGTCCTGGACCCAGTGTTGTTTTGTGCCAGGCACAGGTGAGGACACAACGCCCTGTGTCAGGGAGAGGAGGCCTGGGAACTTCACCCTGTCACCACACTTTGCTGCAGGTCGCCTGACTCAGAGTGAGGGTCTCTACTGCTGGGGACTCCTGTGAGGCCTACAGCCTCCCCTGCCAATGCCTACTGGGCCCCACCCGAGCCCTCCTGGGGCAGTGGACCAAGAGAGTGAGCGTGCATCTCAGTGACCTGCCCAGCCAGCCTCTGGGTCGCAGACCTGGTGCTGTCAGCTGAACACCAGGAGCTGAGTGTGGAGACTGTCAGGTGGCCCAGCCCAGCCCTCCCGTGTTTGTTCAGACGGAAAATGTGCAGGTGCTCAGGAGCCAGGCTCTGTGCCCGAGGATGCGATGGAGCCCGAGAGGTAGTAGGGGCTGAACAGCTAGTGTTGAGGAGCGTGGGGTTTGGAGACTCACTGCCTGGGCCCGAAGGCTGGCTCCACCTGGGGTGGTAAGAGAAAGGACACACTTCACAGTCTCTGAGGACTAGAGGAGGTTAGCCCAGGCCTCAGGCGGGACAAGCTGGCTAGTCATTTCTGTCCTGGGGGCTCCAGGTATAGTGAAGGAAGGAAGACCTAGAAGGAGCTGTGAAACTGGGCCCCAGGCCTATAGGAGAGACAAGGGGCAGAATTCTCATCACCGAATCAGGTAGACTCAGCACTTTCCCTTTTCCTGGCCCTGATCGCTACTCAGACCCTCTACATCCCCAGCCAAACATGCCCCAGACTCAGTCCCCGAAACCCAGCTTGATGGGCTGGTGTTGGGCCCAGTGACCAAGGGCAACAAATGAAGCAGACCAATAAAAGGTCTGTGAGCCTCCTGGCCCTGCTCTGACCCACACCCAGTCAGGCCTGGCACCCAGACCATGTCCTTTCCAATCCACCCCTTCTGGAAGGAAATGGAATGAGTAGAAAGTTGAGGGAGGCCAGGAGCTGCCCACAGGCTGGCAGGGGATGCGGCCCAGAGGGGGTTTTGCTCTGTAAAAGAATCCCCTCCTCCTCCTCGGTGAACCTTGGCCACCTCTTGCTCCGGGTCTTGGCTGAGGGGACTCGGCTGCAAGAGTTGGAGATAAGCCCCTGCCCACTCCCAAAGGAAGGAAGTGGGTCACTGGAGGATTGGACCATCACACAGGGATGAGTGGCTGTATCGGGCATTAAAACCAATCTCTGCTCTATTTTCTCCGAGGAAGCCTTGCTGCTGAAGAGACGCGCTCCTTTGGCCTCCACAGGTAACCAGATGAAGGCGGTGCTGAGCCTGCTACTCCCCTGCCTCCTGGCCCGGGTGTGGCTGGTGCCTGGCTTGGCCTCTGGTCCCTGGTCGCCAGAAGCCCAGGCAGGGCCGGAAATTCTGCAGACCCCCACTGTCCCGAATGGGACCTTCCAGGGCATGCAGGCCCCTGCGGAGGAGCAGGAAGAGCCCTGGCTGACAGCCAGCGGGCACGAGCTCTCTTACGAGACCTCCAACTTGGGGTTCAGCCTGCTGCGCAAGATCTCCATGAGGCACGAAGGCAACGTGGTCTTCTCTCCACTCGGCCTATCCTTGGCCATGGCAACCCTGATGCTGGGGACCAAAGGGCAGACCAAAACCCAGCTGGAGGACAGGCTCCTCCTGCAGACCCTGAACCAGACCAGGCCCGGGCAGCTGCTCACCCTCTTTCGGCGGCTCAGACAGCGCCTCTCCCACAACCGGGAGCTGGGCCTCACCCAGGGGAGCTTGGCCTTTATCCACAAGGATTTTGATGTCAAAGAGACCTTCCTGAATTTATCCAAGAGGTATTTCGATACTCAGTGTGTGACTGTGAATTTTCGCAATGCCTCACAGGCCAGAAAGCTCATGAATCATTATATTAACAAAGAGACGCAGGGGAAAATCCCCAAACTCTTTGATGAGATTAATCCTGACACCAAAGTAATTCTTCTGGATTACATCTTGCTCAAAGGTATTTTGATGACGCTCTGCTCTCCCAAAGCCAGTGGGTCTCTAACACCAGTCTCTTCCTTTCCTGTTTGGCCAGTAAATCGTTAACCCCAAATGATTTTCTGTGAACAGTTTTCAGCTTTCACGAACAGACTGAAATAGGCATCGACTGTGTATGACATTCCAGGCGCAGTGCTAGGCGTGTTCATTCGATGCCCCTGCCCCGGTGACCCATGTGCTTGGAGTCCTTAGTTTTCCAAGCACCTCTACACGGCTCTTCTCACCTCTAATATTCTGACACAGTGAATCTCCTGGGCATGTGATCTCTGTGAGATTTAGGGTTACATCTTTGCTCCTTCACTTTCTCCTTTTGTGACCTGGGGCAAGTGACAGTCTCTTGTCCTCAGATTCTTAATATAGAAAATGGGAACATTCCTACCTACTGTTTAGATGAAAGTAAGGCTGAGAGAGGTGAGCTTGACCAAGGTCACATGATAAAGGGCAGAGGCCAAACTCAGGCCGGGGGTCCCGACACTCTCATGCCAGAACCTTCCCATCCTGCTCCTCTAATGGGGCCGGGGACTCAGGAACTTGCAGAGTCCAGAAGGAGAACATGCTTCCCGCTGGCCAGGCAACACCCCCAGGACAGAGGTCTGAGTGCAGTCATGCTGCTGCATGCTGGCAGCCTACCCAGGATCGTGTGGCTGTTTGTCAGCAAGGGTCCCCTTCTTGCAGAACCCTGAGCAGTGATGGGTGGGGAATGTCATTGCTCCTGCACACGGTGTGCCCTAACTAGACAGAGGGTGGGCAGAGGGCCCCTCACGTGGACGGAGCAGTGGGAGGCCCGCTCTCCTCCAGGCTGGAGCTCACCACAGGGAGCCGGTGACCAGGCCACATCCTGGCTGCTGCATCTCCGGTAGAGCCTGCGGGCGGTTCTGCCGCTGGGAGAGGCCAGGAAGGCTGGCCTTTGGGGAGTTTGTTTTGCCTGCCCGAGCTGTGGTCTGAACACACCTCGCAGGAGACTGCCTTCCCCGTTGGGATGGCAAGGGGACTAGAGCCCTGGCGCTCTGTGACGTAGCCAGAGGGATGCCCCGGGAGGGTGGTTTCCACACCGAGTTCTCTTCCTACCTGTCCAGGGAGATGGCTGACCCCTTTTGACCCAGTCTTCACCACGGCGGACACCTTCCACCTGGACAAGTACAGGATGGTTAAGGTGCCCACGATGTACACAGTAGGCAACTTCGCCTCCACCTTTGATGAGAATTTCCGTTGCCATGTGCTCAAACTGCCCTACCGAGGAGGCGCTGCCATGCTGGTGGTCCTCGCGGAGGGAATGGGCGAGCACCTTGCCCTCGAGGACTACCTGAGCACCGACCTCGTGGACACGTGGCTGAGCAGCATGGAGACCAGGTACCGCACCCGGACGAGCCCCCCGTCTTCGCGAGCACTCGCTAGTTCCATGGTTGAGCGACCGGTGGGCTCCCGGGAGCAGGGGCTGTGTGGCCATTACCGCTCTGCCCCGCGTCTCGGCGCCTGGCTTGTTCTCTGCCCCGCATCTCTGCCTGGTTTGTTCCTTCCCTCGGCCCTGACTGGGGGCCCTGACTGGGCACTGACGTGCACAGCGGGGCCCTCTCCGAGCTTACGCTCTAGCGAAGGGAGACACCTCCAAGTGCAGGGAAGGCAACGGGGCACCGACAGGGTGCGGGTAGGTGCCAGGGAGGGCCTCGCAGCGGAGGTGATGGGAAGCTAGCCCGAGCAGTGAAGCGGGACGTGCAGCTGTGCTGGGGGGAGGAGTGTCACAGGCGGAGTAGACAGTTCTGGGGTGGGAGCGTGCCTGCTGGGTTTGGGGGGCAGCAGGGCAGCCGGGGAGGAGATGGGGTCAGAGCCAGGGCCCAGGCACCAGGATTGTATGTTACAGGCCCCAGAAAGGACTGGGCCTTTCCTGAGGGAGATGGGCAGCCCCGGGGGCTCCGAGCAGAGCAGCAGCATGGGGAGACTTGCATTTGAAAGGGCCACACGGCCCCTGCGCTGAGCAGAGACATCCTGGGGGAGCGGGGGCAAGGAGACCAGTCAGGAGGTCACTGTAACCACCCGGGTCATGACGTGCCCCTTGGGCTGCGGGTTGCAATGCAGTGAGGAACATCAGGCGGACCCTGGGTCCCTAGGAAGCTGGAGGTGGCAGGATTTGCTAGTGGACTGGATGTGGTGAGCGAAGAAGGAGGGGATAAAGGGAGCAGAGGGAAACAAAGTCAAGCTCCTACTCAGCAGCAGGCATTCTGGGCGCTTCCATGTTCGCTCACTCAGTCCTCTGAATGACCTGGGAAATTGGTGCTATGTTTGGCTACACTTCACGGATTGAGAAATTGAGACTTCCTTAAGACTAACAGTATCAGTGATTAGTTTTCATGCTTTTCATTGTTGAGCCACAGAACTCATCTTTCAAACAAAGTAATTTCAAAGGAGAACTCCAATGTAAATAAAGTAGATAATATCAGCCTTTCTCTGGCTACAGGTAGGTCAGGGCTGAAAGTTCCCTTCCCTCCCCCTTGCCATCCATCCTGACTCCTGAGGCCCTCCTGGAACACTGGGGGTTTGCAGAATCCGGACACTGAATGCAGCCACCACCCTGCAGTCTGCAGGATTGCTGGGAGCAAAGAATTGCTGCAAGAAGCTATTTGGTTTGGGTTGTTTTTAAAACATAGGGAAATGGATGAAAAATACCGTATTCTAAAGAGAATGTGAGTCATTGGCTGGGAAATAAAACTGGCTTAGTAAAGCTGAAGTTATATTTGATATGCCAGAACTGTTTTCTCTGAGCTAGACCATTAGAAAAGAATGGAGTGAGCTATATACATACAGTCAAGTGAGGGAGACTTGGTCATGGAAATAACCTTGGAGGAAGGAAAGAGTGATGTTTTTAGAGTTTAGAGTCTATGGCTTTGTATCTCACCATTATATGTACTTGTACCACAGAAATATGGAAGTTTTCTTTCCAAAGTTCAAGTTAGACCAGAAGTATGAGATGCATGAACTGCTTAAGCAGATGAGAATCAGAAGAATCTTCTCGCCCTGGGCCAACCTGAGTGAACTCTCAGCTACTGCGAGAAATCTGAAAGTATCTAAGGTAAGCCAGGATCTTTTATTAGGAACCAAATCCTAAGTCCCAAAACCAGCATATATTTTTGCAAATCATTTTAATGTTGATAAAATACCAAGTTATGGTAGAAACTTCGATTTAAATTCCAAAAACTTGAAATAGCACCCAGGGTGGATGTTTTGAGAATTTTTAGCTACTTGATTAAAACATTAGTTCAAATAATTTCTCTTATGTAGAGCTCTCCCTCTTGTCTCCCAAACGCTCAAGGAGAAATTCACAGACTCATTTAAAATTTCATGAAATTACACCACTTTCTAGATGAAGCAAACCCCTGGAAGTCATCTGCCCAACTTCCCGCCCCTTGTTGGAATCCCCTCTGTAATATCCCTATAAA